CAGGAATCCTCGCGTGGAAGACGTGAGGAAAGGCAGCAGGGTGAGGTGCAGCTGCTCTGCTTCTGCAGAGCCCCTTCCTGTCTGAAGGGAGAAGAGTGCTCCAAACACTGAGTTTCGTTCCACAGCGTGGTCTTTAAAAGCATAAACACCTCATGAACAGAAAGCAAAACCACCTCCTGGACCTGAAGGCAGCTGGGTTTTGATCTGCTGGGAGTTGTTCCTCCTGCAGATGTGGCTGCAGAGTATGGACGTGCAGCTCTGGGGGGGGCTCTGGGGTGCCAGGAGGTGCCCAGCTGGCTGTGGTGCCTGTGGCCAGGGAGGGCTTCTGCAGGCAGTGCCTCTGGGTCTGCTTAGGGATTCTTAGTCTCTTGTTCCCCCCTCACTGCTGCTTCTTAGCTGTGCTCTGTTCCTGACTGTTTCCTGATTTTATACAGGAGTCAACAGATTTTATATACATATATTTGTTTTTTTCACTTCCTGCTGCACGTAGCTCTGATGACATCTAGTCTGGAGGCCTGACATTAGTTTTCTGGCAAATGATCCTGGCCTTGCTTTCAATCCATGCTCTGGCAAGCAGACATTAATCCATCCTTTGCCTGCTGCCACTTGTTTTTGTTACCATGCACAGGGTTTTTCCCAGACAGAATCTGGAATCTGCATTCAGCAGCTTTGTGTGGTGTGGCTGTTCTCTTGTAATCACCTTCCAAGGGTTTGAGAATGTAATTTACCTGCAAAAGAGTTGGCTTGTGATCCTCCTCTGCATTATGGACCTAGCCTTGGGAGTTTCTGCTGCTGCTGAAAGCTCTGCAGTGACCAGCACTGCAGCCAGACCAGGAGGTCTTGGGGCTTGTCTTCTAGTGGCCTCTTATTTGAAAAGTCAGAGGCTGTGCTGCTGTTCTGCAGGAATATATCTGAGCACAACTCCCTCTCTCCATTTACTCACATTTCTTTCTCCCTTTTGCTCTTTGCTTCCCTTTGCTGCTTCTCTTTGCTATGGAAAGCAATTTAGGAGGTGCTGCCCTTTTGTACCCATCCCCTGACTTTCCTCTGCCAGATTTCTGTACATAGCTTTCTTTCCCATTATTTCTGCCAGCTAAGTGCAGCCTAATACCTGAATAATGCAGCTATTGGGGGAAGCAGAAAGGGGAGTGTTAATAAAGCATAGCTGGCCAAACGAGCTGTTCTACCAGTGTGGTCTCATCCTTCTGCCTTCCCTGAGCATCATTCCTGGATGTGTCGTGGCCTTCCAGGATCTGAAGGAGGCCTACAGGATATCTGGGGAAGGACTTCTGCAGGCCCATGTAAGTGATAGGATGAGGGTTAATGGCCTCAAATGAAGAGGGAAGATCTAGGTTAGAAATTAGGAAGAAGTTTTTCACTCTGAGGGTGGTGAGACACTGGAACAGGTTGCCCAGGGAAGCTGTGGATGCTCCAGCCCTACAAGTGTTGAAGCCCAGGCTGGATGGGGCTTTGAGTAACCTGCTCTAGTGGGAGATGTCCCTGCCCATGGTAGGGGGGTTGGAATGAGGTGATCTTTAAGGTCCCTTCCAATTCAAACCATTCTATGATTTAATTGGTAGGAGCTGGGAGTTCATGGGGTGTGTTTTCCAGCACGCTCCCCTTGTCTTTGGGAAATGTCAAGCTTAATGTCTGTTGACTCCTGTATGAAGCTTGCAATTGTTTTCCTCTTCCTGTAGAAGAGCAAATTCACCCTGTTCTTTAAATACCAAAGGATGGAAGCAGAGGGGGCAGCACAGGTCCCTTCTTATCAGACTGAGGAGAGAGCTCCAGGAATCCTGTGCCTGGTGATGCTGATGAGTGATTACAGATGGCACTCCAGGCTGTGGCAAGGTTTGCCTTCTGGATACTTGTCACCATTCTTTCCTTACTATCTCTCAGAAAATGTTTTTTTTTAACATAAAACTGCAGCCTGTACCAGGGAAAAAGATATTTGAATGTCATAAAGCAATGTCAGCTGGCCAGAAGCCTGCAGGGCAGTGATTTGGAGGAAGGTGGTCTGGGTGCTTCTCAGCAGGCAGCCCAAGAGCAAAGCATGAGGAGTTAAAGCTCCTGCTGCCTCTTCACTGTGCCTTGGAAAGATTGAGAGATCAAGTTGTAGCATGTCATAGAAAACTAATGATCTGCTGAAAGCTGCACTGAGTGTCACTGGAGAAAAACAAACAGCTTGCTCCCTTTTGGGCTTCTGTGTGTTGCTGGCTGTTGGGGAGCCAAGTGTAGTTACTCAGTTCTTCCTGAATTAAGAACCTGTGAAGACAGGACAAGAGGAAACAGCCTCAAGTTGCCCCAGGGGAGGTTTCAGTTGTCCCTGAGGAACAATTTCTTGCCCTGGAGGGTTGCCCAGGGCTGTGCCAGGCTGCCCAGGGCAGTGGTGGAGTCCCCATCCCTGGAGGGGTTCCCAAGCCGTGGAGATGTGGGGTGAGGGACACGGGGCAGTGGGGACCTGGCAGGGATGGGGGAACATTTGGGCTCAGTCCGTTTAAAGGTTTCATCCAAGCCAAGCAATTCAGTGATGCTGTAAGGTTTTTAGTAGCTGTATCAAGTTGGGAAGCTTTGGGTAGGTCTAAGCACTTGCTTTCATAACACATTTCCTGTGGTTTATTTGGAACTCCTTCACTCTAGTTTCTCCTGTTCTGCTTGAAACACCACTGTTAAAAAATGAAGAAAATTTCTGCCTTCCTTTCAAAGCTGCCTGTGCTCATCTTTCCACTTCTTTAGCAACCTCTTCACTTGCCCTTCAGGGCTCACCTTCTGAGCTGATTTTTCCTGTGCCTTGCCTGTAAGGTAATATCCAGTTTCTTAAGGGCCTTTGCTTTAATGGCTCTTGCTTTTCCCAGTTGGATCTTGAGCTGCAGCCCAAGTGAGTTTTAAACCAGCTTCAGAGAAGATGAGTGATCCATTTCTCTTCCATGTGATGGCTGGGTGGTTTAGCTGGCCAGTTCTTTCTGTCCACTTCTCTGCTTTGGATGGCTCTTCTCTGGGCACTGGAGTCCAGCTTTATGGGAAGCTTGGATTATTGGAAAAATACAAATTTCTCTCTACCTTGTGGAGATTGAAATCTCTGTATGGCAGAGGAAGAAGAGTGTTGGAAAGTGGAGTGTTTGAGTGTACCCCAAGTATTAAGCCAAATTTTAGGGAGCTTGTGCATATCTTAACTTCTGGTCTCTCTTCCATTAAGATCCCAATACTGAATATTCAGGTGAAAATCTTCCCAGCTCTCTGCACGGTTGCAGGAACTATTTTCTCCTGTACAAACTACTTTGGTGTGATCTTCACGGGGGGAGTTGGCAAAAATGGATCCACTATAGCAGTAAGTACTTTGTTCTGCTGGTTACTCTTCAGCATACTTTCAGCCATGTCTGTAGTTTTTAGTTAACATAATAACCTCCTACGTGTGAAATATTTTCCTTTTAGTTCCTTGCTGGCTTGGGAAGAGCAAGATAATGTTGTCTGCATGAGGATAATACCTTTAAGACTCAAAAGCTTTCAAATTTGAGTGGTTAGAAGTGCTTATGGTACTTTAACATTTGCTTTTGAATTAATTAAAACAGGTTATGCAAATAGACACACCCTCCCCAAAGAGTTAACTGAGAAGTCCAATGCTAAAATCTATTCAGGAGGAAGTTTACCAGGCAGACTGGTTATGGTTTTGACCCTTGTGGAAGGTCTGTAGTATTCATTTCAGCAGTGAAGTATAGGTGGAGTTATCTGCACAACCACCTTCTGTTCCAGGGAAGGTGGTGACTGATTCTAGAGCCCTGGGAGTTTTCCAACAAGCATTTCCATACCAGCCTAACAACTGCTACCTGGAAGGCTGGTTTGAGGCCTCCTGGCTGGCACAGAAAAAGCAATAGCAGCATTGTCTTCTGTGAGCTGCTGCCTGTGTGTGACCATTGTCAGAACTTGACACTTCTTCCTGCCTAAAACCTTTTCTTCCCCAGCACAGGAAAAGTTCAACCACGTTCTCAGCTGTTGCTCCCTCCAGTTCCACCACACTTTGTTCCTGTTAGTGCCAGTGTTCAGAAAGAGGTGTTCTGCTGTGATTTCAGTTAGAGGCCACCCATTGCATGCCCCGTGGGTTTGGCTTATCCAGGTTTCTCTGCACCATGCAGTTTGTTCACCTAACCCTGGGACTTTCTCTTGCTGCAGGGAACCAGTGTCCTCTCCCCTTTCCTTCACATCGGCTCCGTGATCGCCTTGGCTGCCATGATCTACAAGAAGTCTGCTGTGCAGCTCTTTGAAAGGCACCCCTGCTTGTACATCCTTACTTTTGGCTTTGTGTCTGCCAAGATAACAAATAAACTCGTGGTAAGTGCACCAGCACCTTCGAGTTCCTTCTTACTGTAGTAAAACTCTGTAGATTTGAAGTTGCTCTGACTCTCTTGCATCTCTCTGTACTGAATTGATACTCATGCTTTACTTTAAGTAGCTTGGAGGTGCAGCAGAGCCTTTCTTCTGTCTGGAAGGGGTTGGTTAAACCTCAGACTCATGCCATGGTCACACAGTCAGTGCCATACAGCTTGCAGCTGCCTGAGTTCTGTTCCTCTTTCCCAGCTGTTTGCTCACACTTCTGCACGTGTGTGATGGGCTGGGCAGGAGCAGAGGTGCCTCAGACCCTAGTTTTGTTCCTTCCTCTTTCCCAGCTGTTTGCTCACACTTCTGCACGTGTGTGATGGGTGATGGAGGAGCAGAGGTGCCTCAGACCCTCCTCAGAGGCACCTGCAGAGGGGAGGGAGGTTTGGGAGGAGGAGAGAAGGTGACAGAGGTGCTGAGGTTTGGAATGGCTTCTCAGGGCTTAACTTCAACAGTTGGAGAGAAATAGTGGTTAAAATTATTACCAGGGAACTGATGTCACTGCTTTCAGGAGAGGAGCTGCTAGAAGTGGGGTCGTGGTGTAGGGCAGCCTGTGGGCATGGGTGGGACAGTCACACACAACCACACAATCAAACTGTAACCAGAGAGGGTGATCCCTGTGGCATGGGGACAGATGGGTGGAGGGAGAGGAGCACCAAGTGTCTCTCACTTCTGAAGTTCTACCAGCTTTGTTTCTGGGCTCAACTAAACCTTAAAAGTTACCAATCTGCTTCTATTTTACCATTTTGTTTCTGCCAGGAGGAAGAGTTTATAGGCTGGAAAATGTTAGGGTGTTTTGTTTTTTCCTGTTGCTACATTTCTTGCTCTAGTAAAAGCTCCAAGATGCCTGGTTTGCAGAGAAGCATAGCTGCAGACTTCCATGGGGAAAGCAGCTAATGCTGCTGAAGTCCTGGCTACAGCTTGAACTGTGACTTTTTTGGCTTTATGCATTCTGAAATCACTCACCCTTGGCTGCTGTGTGTTTATGTCTTAAACTTCCTGTTTTCTTAATGTAGGTTGCACACATGACCAAGAGTGAGATGCACCTGTATGACACAGCTTTCATAGGCCCAGCACTGCTGTTCCTGGACCAGTATTTTAACAGCTTTATCGACGAGTATATTGTGCTCTGGATTGCCCTGGTGAGTACACTGGGGACCCTCATGAACATTCCTGTGCTCCCAGGGGTGGTGTTGGTGTTGGTCGAGCCTGGCTGACTCCCCTGGGAAGTTTAAACTGTTTGGATATTTGCCACGTTGCTTTAAAAGCTTAGAACAGCTTATTTTGAAGATGTGTTGATGCCTTGGTGGTGAGGAGGGTGTTTGGGTGCAGTGCAAGTGGAGCTTGGCTGTGCCTTGAGCTCTGGAAAGTGTCCCAGTAGCAGCAGCAGCACCCAGGAGGAAAAATATCTTCAGTTAAACTCACACGTGCTTATCAAGCACTCAAGTATTACCTACCAAAACACTGCCAGCCTTGGAATAAAATGGGTGATTTCTGCATGGTTATCAGCACTGCATGGAGCATCCCACAGGATCTCTGTAGCTAGAATTCAGAGCCTGTTCTTACAAAGCTGGAAGAAAGCCCAACATGACCAGGAACTCCTCACTGATGGATTCCCACAACTGGAGATTTAATTCATGAAAAGCCAACCCCAGTGCTTTTAATCTGAACCAGGCAATGTGATGTTCCACCCTGGTGGGACCCCCTATGGAAACAGATCTAAATGTGTCATTTCTTTCCCTTGGCAGATCCTTTCTCTCTTTGATTTGCTTCGATACTGTGTCAGTGTGTGCAATCAGATTGCTGCCCATCTGCACATCCACGTGTTCAGAATCAAGTCCTCCTCCTCCTCCTCCTCCATGCATTCTAATCACCATTAGTGAACTGGGGAGTCACCGTGTGGAGAAACACAAGAGAGTTGGTTTTCTACATGAATGGATGTGGTGAGAAGTAGGAGACTAAGGCAAAAAGCAGATTAAGAACCAAGTAATTTATAATAATCAATGTCATATAACTTCTCTTCTTTATCAGTAACACTCCTTAACTAGTCTCCTGCCTGAGGGAGTGGATTCCAAGTGCACAGTAGTCAACTCTACATGTAGTCAACTCTGTTGGTTGAAGGCCTGGGAAGCATGCAGGGAGGAACTCTGTCTTTGTAATTCCCTTGATTACAAAATAACCCATCTATGGTGAATGGATCCCCCAACAACTGAAGTTTCTAATGTAGTATAATTACAGCTGCAATACAACTTGCTTTTAATTTTAATATTTCATCATCTCTTAGTGAAATCCTTGTTTAGTGTCCACTTGAAATTTATTTACTAAAGACCTGAGCTGGTAAAACCAGAGATATCTCACTAGCTTGTGTGGCTGAAGCAGGGTTGGAGTCCAGGCTGGTGTGGTTCTTTTGCTTCTGCATTGCTGATCAGAGCAATTCCTTGCTGAGGAATAATGGCTTGAACAGGGTGAGGGGGAAGGGGTGACCAGCATGCAAAATAGTGTGGTATCTTTGTCAATTAATTTTATTTTTTTAAATAAACATTATCTAAAAAGAAAAAAACTTATTTCTTGATTTTCTTCAGTGGAAAGAGTATAAAAAAAAAAAAAGATTTTACTGTTTACTTTTTTATGTACAAAACAAGCAAAACTTCCTTTCTGCTCTTAATAAATAAGAATTCTGAGAGCAACAGTTGGCTTCAGATGTGTGTGTTGCTCTGTCCTCCTTAGACTTACCCAGTACACTCCTGCCTGGGATTTAAAAGCAATTTTCTAATGCTTCCTGTGTATCTTGTCATCCCAGGATCTCCAGGAGCTTTCTCTGCCACACAGGGCAGTAAGTTTGGGGTGGGGTATTGTTTTAAAACCATTTTAAATGTGGCAAACTGCATCAGGGAGGTTAAATTGGATTTAATGGAGGGTTTAATTGCCTGATAGTGAAGTGATTCAATGTGTGCCTTGAGGGGAACTTCAGAGCCTGAACAAAGGGCTCAGGTTTGCTGTGCAGAGCAGCACAGGATCAGCCATGGCTGTGAGGGACCTGCTCCAGGGACAGCTGGTGGGGGGTGGCAGGAGCCTGGAGACTCCAGACCTGCTCCTCTGACCATCAGGCAGCTCAAGGGGGTAAGGAAATGCCTCTGTCTAGTGGGAACCCAGAGCCACAGCAGTACCCGAAGACAACTGCACGTGGCTGTTCTTTGAAGGAATTAAGCCCAGCTTGCTATAAAAACAACCCAAAAAACCCTCAGCAACAATAAATCAGACCCACACGTGGCCACAGGCAGCGGTGACACGAATTTCCTGTGATGCTCTGGTGGTTAGAAACTGCTGGGGAAGTGGAGAGAAAGTTCAGTTCCTCCAGTGAGGGGAGAGCAGCTTTTAAACCCTTCTTCCAACCTCTCTGGGACACGACCCAGAGTCAGGCTCTGGGGCCAGGCTCCTGAAGTGTCCTTGCTGAGACACAGGACTGCTTGGGCTGGAGAAGGACACAGGATGAGGGTGGGTGAAAGGTGGTTGCTGAAGTGTTTGGCTCTGAGGAAAGAATTTCCTCACTGTGAGGGTGGTGAGACAGCAGAGCAGCTGTGGGTGTCCTGCTCCTGGAGGTGTTCATTGCCAGGCTGCATGGGGCTTTGAGGAACCTGCTCTAATGGGAGGGGTCCCTGCCCATGGCAGCTGGGGGGTTGAGCTAGAATAGGTTGGAAGGTCTTTAAGGTTCCTTCTGACCTATTCTATGATCTGGGGCTGGCTCCTGCTTGAGATGCTGCAGGAAGTAGAACTGAGATGCTTCTCCAGCCAAGCACTTGGTGCATGGATGTGCTGTCTGCAACTCCCTGACAGGAGCCTGGAGCCAGGGGGGGGTCGGGCTCTGCTCCCAAGGGACAAGGGACAGGACAAGAGGAAAGGGCCTCAAGTTGCCCCAGGGGAGGTTTCAGTTGTCCCTGAGGAACAATTTCTTGCCCTGGAGGGTTGCCCAGGGCTGTGCCAGGCTGCCCAGGGCAGTGGTGGTGTCCCCACCCCTGGAGGGGTTTCCAAGCCGTGGAGCTGTGGGGTGAGGGACACGGGGCAGTGGGGACCTGGCAGTGCTGGGGGATGGTTGGACTCCATCTCCTTAAAGGTCTTTTCCAACCAAAACAATTCTGTGATTCTATGATTCTCTGAGTGGAAGAGTTTGGGTTCCTTCCTGGAGGGTGGTGCCACTTCAAGAAGTGAGTTGGAGGTCCTGCCTTGGGGCTGGGGCAGGGGAGAGAGGAGGAACAGCCTCAGGATGAAACTGCTGTGGGCTTCCCCACATCTTCCTGAACTCAGGGGCACATGCAGCTGGGGCCCTTTGGGGACCTGGCCCTGGGGGTCCCTCTGAGGCTGAGGGAGACTTTGGTTCCTACATCCTGACCGTGCCCAGCTCCTGGAAGTGTCCCAGTCCCCATGTCTCTACCAGGGGTGTCCCCAGTGTGCCAGGGGGCAGCTGTCTCTGGTGTCACAGCTTTAGGTACAGCAGGGATTTGGAGAATTGGTTCAGTTTTAACCATACTCAGCTGGGTGCTGGTTTTTGGCAGCATGAAGTGGGTGCAAAACTCGGTTCCTTGGAAAGTCCCTCCCTGGTTTAGCAGAGGTGAGGGTGAGGAAATCATGCAGGGGGTTCAGAATCAAGCTGCTGTGAATAATTCCTCACTGATACTTGAGGCTGGTGAAGGAGTTAAGTCTTTAAAGGGATGTCTAGGACCAAACTTTCATTTATGGAACGTGTCTAAGCTGAAGCCTGTTGATGTTCAGGGAATGGGATGGGGCATCTTTTCCTCAGCTTCTCCTTTCCTGGAACTTTGGCTGCTCTGTGTTCAGCCAGCCAGGAAAAAAAAAATCTCATCTCTACCCTGCTAAAGCTTCAGCATCCTCAGGGGAGTGAGTGCTGGGGATCCAGGCTGCAGGAGGGGTTGCTGAGGACCTACATGTTGTGTAAGTGCCTGTAGTAAGTAGAAGAAATGAACCTCCCCCCTGGCCCTCCTCGATGACAACGCTGGCTGGAGACCTGAGAGAGCCCTGAGAGCAGAGGGACAGGTCGTGGCACCTCCTGCCCTCTTTCTGTTCCATCTGAGGGGCAGTTTTGTTTCATGCTGGTAGCTTTTAATAGCTGCAGAGAAGCTGAATCATTTCCAGCGAGCAGGAGGTGGAGGCTGCACAACTTTTTGGAGGTTGAAGCGGGTGGGAAGTGATGGGAGGCAGGAGCTGTGTCTGTCACTGGGGTGACCTGAAGCTCTCAGCAATCAGCTCGTGCTGGTGCTGGGAGGTTCAATACCCCCAGGACTGTTTGCTGGCAGCCAGGCCAGCTGGCAGAGGGGCACAGATGCCACCACGGGGAAACTTATCTTCCAAGCAGGGCAACCACGTGGCAGGAGCTGAACCCCGAGCTGGGAGCAGAGCCTGAGCTGCCTCCAGTTGTTTGTAGGAGGGTGAAGTTGGCTCCTGCTCTGCTGGGAACTATGTGAACAATTTAGCAGAATAAATGAGAGCTTTCCAGTTCAGGGCAAACATTTCTTGGCCCTGTTTGATTTAGCCTTGTGGTCTTAGATCAAGTGTTAGGCAAGCCTTGAGCAGGAGGAAGGGTTTAAAAGTGTGCTGGGAGTTTTGCTGAGATGCTGGAAGTGTCCAGGCTCCCAGCAAACAGCAGCTGAGTTCACAAGCAGGTGGTTGAAGAGAAGCAGACTGAGCTCAGAGCAGCAAACTGAGGATTCATTCAGCAGCTGCCCTTTCAGCAGGGTGTCTCTGTGATTTGTTGACCTGGGTTGGTCACAGGGACGTGGATCCTTCGTGCCAAACACAGTCTGTCCCTCCTGGTGTTACAGGGAAGCTCTTGCCAGGCTGCTCTGGTTGGGGGAGTGAGCAAGCATGACAATATCAAGCTGCTTTTTAATGTTCAGGCCAAGCCAGCTCCAGAAAACCTTAAAAGCTGCTGCTCAGGGATGAGATCAGTCACACAGGCTTGGGAAACGAGGACAGAGAGGTCAGGAAGAAAGGGAAAAGGTGTGAGAAGAGTGGGGGGAGAGACCTGGGGGTCCTGGGGTAGCTTGTGCCAATGGGCTTGTTTTCTTTCCAGCATCTTCAGCTACCACCTGTAGTTCTGAAGATGGTGGGGGGGAGACAAGTTACTGCCAGAAAAGTTGCTCCTGTTACTCTTTACCAGTTCCTTCTGTCATCCTGTGGCCAACCAAGGAGCTGAGCCAAGAGCTGATGGGCTTCCCAAAGGATTTTCCCCAAAGGGAATGGATCTAGATCCCTTTTTCCACAGCAATACTCAAAGAAAAGGTGCTTTAAGTCACTTTAACATCCCATCTCAACCTATTCTTTGTAGCACCAGCCCTTTTAACTCCCTGTAGTGAGCCCTTGCTGACATCTGTAGCACTGATTACATCTGAACAGCATTTTTTTTAATTTAAGGATCTGGTTTTGTTTATCTGTTTCCAGCAGCTAAGGAATAAATCCTTCTGTTGCATCTTCCTCTGACAGGAATTAATGCTGGAGTTGATGATCTTACAGGTCTTTTCCAACCTAAATGATTCTGTGAGCTTCTCAAAACAGTCATGAACAGGCAGGAGAAGGGGGAGGCAAGTGGTCTTTCCATCTTGATAGGTGCCCCTGATGTTCCACACACACAACCTGCTGCTGGCAGGTGAACATTTTTCAGTGAAAAACGACACAGAAAAAGAACATTAACCTTTAATTTCCTGTAGTTAAACCTGTAACACTCTCTCTGCCCACGAGTGGGGACCTGTAGACACCCACAGCGCCCCAAACCCCCTTTTTTTCCTAACAAATCTTGTCCCCCCAACCAGAATTCAGCTTTAAATCTACTGCAGACAACACATTTCGGCGACAGCTCTTCAATGAGCTGCCAGGATTCAAAAGAAGTTGGCAGCAAACCCAGAAACAAGGTTGGTGACACGTTTTACTACAGGATTTAACAAAAACTTCCTCCCTACCCCAAGCTGTTGATCAGCCCTTTCCACCCCCTGCAAACCACAGCCCTGGGGCCTTCACGGTTTGCCTGCAGCACAAATAAATAACCCCTTGGAAAAGAATATTTTTCATTCTTTATAGACCTAAAACAGGCTCTGAGTGGTACCAGAGAAGCTCTGGAGGGAACCTCTGAAACCCACCGTGACTGTTCCTGCTGGAGTTTAACCACGAGCTCCTCATGACAGAACAGCAAGTGAGATGGTGGTTGATAACAGAAACCCTGGAACCTTACTCAAAACCTGATTTTCAAAACCTAAGTCTGTTTTAATTAGAAAACTACTCATCCTTTTATTTCCTCTAACAACCCTCTAGCTACTCATCTTTTTATTTCCTCTAAAAATTCTCTAGCTACTCATCTTTTTTTTTTCCCCTCTAACAATTCTCTAGCTACTCATATTTTTTTGTTCTCTAACTACTCATCTTTTTTTTTCCCCTCTAACGATTCTCTAACTACTCATCCTTTTTTTATTTTACCTCTAGCAATCACTCTACAACCTTTGCTGTCCTGCAGCCCTCTGCCCCACTTCCCTCCCTCCCTGCCTGAGGTCCTGATGGGGCCAAAGACTCTGTGCAGGGCCAGCACCTTATGTCACAGTTTGTCCCTGTTGCCAGCAAGACTGGAAAAGAAATCCCAGCCTGCTGCTAGCTCTGTGCAAAAGAGTTTTCCAGTGCAACGATGCCCTGAGGAAAAAAAGGAAGGGTAGAAACTGGTGTTCAGTGCTGCCCACGCAGCTCCAGAGGCACGGCTGGGTGGGAACCAGGGGCCAGATCCAGCAGGGTGCAGAGTGCTCTGCCCTTGGCCGGGGCACGTGTGGAGTCTGGGCAGCGTGGTGCTGCTGGCACCCAGCCCTGCTCCCTCAGGAGGCCCTTCGGTGCTTCTTCTGCTCGTGGTACTCTGCTATTTTCTTCTGGAAATAGGCTGTGGGTGAGAAAAGGTGGTTGGTGAAGTGGAGGGGACAGAGGGGGGCACAGCCCAATTCCTGGGTGCCCCCTTGGAGCCAAACCGTGCTGGGTTGTGGATGATTCCACCCAGGAGAGGACCCAGGTGAGGTTGGGGAGGTTGTGGTCCCACCCATCCCTCTCACCCACCCCCGCTGGGCTCCATCGTGCTGGGTTAGGGTAAGATTTGAACCCCCACCTTTGCCCCTGTTGAGCTTTTTTGTTTCCCCTCCAACCCACAAGGAAGGGGGAGCCCCTGGGAGTGGGAACAGCCAAAAAGGTGGCACAGACTGGGGGTGAAATGGGGGAGCTGGGCTGGTGCCACCAGCACGTGGCTGATGGAGCACAAGGGCAGCAGCAGCCTCTCCACTCTCCCCCAGCACAGCAAGACCTTGGGGGTGCTCAGCCCCACGCTGGGGTGTCTCCGACCACCCAGAGATGTTCTGGGTGGCTTCTGCAGCCTCCACCAGCCCTGCCTGTCCTCGTCCCAGGCTGGGAGGGGGGTCAGCTCTGCCCAGTGCCCTGGGGGTGCCCAGGAAGGGGGAAGGACCAAGGCTGGCACCCCGGGTGTGCGTGGGGCAGGCAGCAGGGAGGAGTCAGGGCGGGAGAAGCCCCCCCCCGGCTCCTGCCTGCCACCAAGCCAAATATTTGTGTTGCTCCTGGCACTTTTGCTTCCACACCGAGCTCCCAGCAGAGCCTGCCCAGTCCCCAGGCAAGCAGCAAGAGCTGAAATGAGCCAGGGAGGTGGTGGTTTGGGGGGTTTTTTTTGGCTTGTTTGGCAGAGAAATGCAGCTGGTGAAGCACACGGGAGCTGCTGGCTGCCCTGGGCATCCTCAGCCTCTGGGGCACCTCTGGGGCACCTCTGGGGCATCTCTTCCCCTTCACCAACTCGCCGTTTACCTTCCTGGGGCATCCTGCTCTTCTCAGCTTCCTCCATGAACAGGGAGAACATGTTGGTCTTCACAAACTTCTTCACGAACCTGCGGCTGCTCTTGGAGGGGATGGCCTTGCAGAAGGCTCGTTCCTGGAAGGTCCCTGAGCCATTCTTACTCCACTTGATGTGGGAGGCGTAGTGACCCACCAGCCGGACAAAGAACTGCACAAAGGCCTCTGAGATGAGCACGTTCACCTGCTCGGCTGCTGGAAGAGGACACAGCATGAGAGGGGAG